CTGGACGCCGCTGGACGCCGCTGGACGCCGCTGGACGCCGCTGGACGCCGCTGGACGCCGCTGGACGCCGGTGCTGGGGAGCGAAGATTGCCCGGACCGTGAAGTCACTGCAAACCTGCCAGCCACTAGCCTTGACTCGGGCACTGAATCTGATGAGATCCGATAAGGACCATGGCTGTCATATGCAAGTGGTTGTGGACATGCTCAAGAATTAATTAGACAGTGGAGGAGCTTCATTCCATGCCCAGCTGCAAGAAGCAGTGTCCTGCACAGTAATGTGAGTACTGTAGGTCCTTCTTAGAAAGACAAAAGGCTAGGCGCAGTGGCTTTGCCGCTGCAGCAGCCGCACGCAATCCCTTTGGCACGGCAGGCCGCTTAGAATAGAGCAACATTCTGCGAATCGCTTTCCCTACAAAAGCTCAATGTCAATGGTGCTGAGATGCCTTTGACCGGTCTTCTGAAAGCAACAACATCCCTTTGGCCGCTTCGGCCCTCGTCTCTTTGGACATGTTGTGTTGGCGTTCTTTGGGGCACGGGTGGCCAGAGCTTCGTGTGCCGAGGCTTGCCCCGATGGTCGGCACTCCCTCCACATGGCGGCGAGGTGTCGTTCCACAGTATGTGGTCCAACTCGATGCACGGTTCGGCTACCTCCTCTTCTTTTGGCCGATATCCAGAGCCACCCTTCACCTCTGCTGGCTTGAAGCCCTGTTGCTCCATGGCTGTGACTAGGTCAGGCAGGATCTGGACTGGTAGATAAACAAAAAGGTCATTGGTAGGTAGCGTTTGTTCTCCACACTCCATCCCCCTGACGAAGGACATGATGACAGTGCGCATGAAGGTGAGGGCATCTGCATCTTTTTCGTTTGTGGTCTGCGATTTTCCTTCCCCAGTTTGGGCTGCTCCTGCACCCTGCTCTCTGTGTTGATTGTCAAAGGAACAGCACCTCGCAATGAAAGCTAGGAGGCCATATTGCCAGAAACGAGGGTTTGCATAGAGAGCAAGCTGCTTCTGTGCAATGAAAGGGCATGCTGGATGCCCATTTCTTACGAACGCAAAGAGATTAGACAGAGGGGCAGCGAAGGCTTCACTGATGAGGAGAATAGAAACAATTTATGCTACTAGTAGCAAGGACGCTATTAGGTGGAGGCCATCGCAGGTAGGTTGGAGGCCATCGCTACTAGTAGCAAGAAGCTACTAGTAGCGATGTGTATGCTTGCCACCTTATCTCCACTTGCAGTTGGTTTATGCACAGCGCCTAAATGTCCGGGTGGCACAGGTTGCTCGAAGCACCACTGATGGGCAGGGCTTCATGGCAATAGCAACTTCCAAACGTAGCCATGGTCATTGCGGCAAGTTGCCAAAAGATGTGAGAAGATTGCCCTGATGACCGGCAGGATGCCCATTGGCAGCCAAGGTCATCAATCTTCAGCACCTGACTAGTCTGAGTCTACTTAGCAGGGTGGACAGCCTGCGTCCTTCCCTTTCCAAACGGTTCTCAATTCCGTAGCCATAGCGCCGCACTAGAATGGGATGACAATGATAAAGTGTGTTTGTACAGCATGAGGTGGCAAACTCAAACATAGGCTTCTTAGACAGAACATACGCCAAAGTGTGCAATAGGTGATTGAAAGGCAGACGATTACTGCTCGCAGCTTTGGGCTTGGCTCACGAGGTGTATGGATGCAGTTGTTTTGAATCAGACACCAACAAGACGCACTGATGCAGAGTGGGGACGAGTGAGGTTGACATTGTTATTAGCATTGTTGTCGCCCCCAGAGACATGCAAGGCGAGGGCTACTAACAAAGCAAATGCCAGGTTCTCGTGTTGAACGGCTACGTTGCAATAGTCCGACATGTGACCATGGGCGGCAAAGGGAAAAAGGGCTTCAAGGTCATGGGTGTTTTCCGATGACAAGGTGTTGAATTTGTTTCTTGTTTTGATTAATTCAATCTTGCATTTTTTTGCATAAAGAGCTTGCTGTGCGCTTCTCTTGCAGGGTGGCTGGGGATCAACTTCCAAAGGCGGAAGCGGCAAGGGGTTGCCATTTTCATATGGCCCAGTCCTTGAGGCCTGCAAAACCCCTACTGAGATTGCTTCATAAAATGGACTCAACTTCTGCGAGATTCAGAGAAACAGTACTTTATATAGTACTTTCTACAATTTAAGTCCCCCCTCTTGCTTGGAAATTGTGCTTTCTTTCTTTTCTTTTCATATTTTATGTTCTGTTCTGTTTTGTTTGTGCAATGCAATTACTGGGAAATACTCTCTGTCCCTCTCTCTCTCACATGCAAGGCCCCGGCCCTCTATGCAAAGCAAGCAATGAGCCATGTGCCCAAAGCTTGCGAGCTTAGGGGCAACCAGGCAGCTGACAGGTAGCCAGTAAGGGATAACAGGCGTGTGCTTCTGGTTTTATATATTGGGCTCTTCAAAATTATGCCGGCTTAGACCCCAAACAGTTTAAACTTTTTTTTGGGCGTCAACTCCTTGAATTCCAATGTTGGTGGGAACGTTGGTAACTATATTCCTATAGCCTCCAGCTGTTTGGGAGCGGCATGTAGACAATGATGAACACCCGAACACAGGGTTCTGGGCGGAGACTGTGGCCAGTATAGTTTTTCCTAAGAGAGAGCACCCAACAGTGAATTGTTAGGGGAAATGTTCTGATATGTGAAGCCTTCGATAGCGTTTGAGAGCGTTTCAACTGCCAGCTGGCTGCTGCAATGCCAATGCGTCGGAGTTCAGGAGGTGAACCTGATCACCAACCACCGGCGGCTCTTGCACTTCTGGAAGACGCAGCGGCCTAAATTACTGCGATGTGCTGCCTCCACCATTACAGAAACGGACTGAGAAAGTTGGACATATCAGGGTGAGACTGTTGGTTAAGACGTTTCAGTCAGCAGGTCGCCCTACTACATCCACAAGGCCACATGGCGGCCGTTTCTATGCGTTGCCATAAACGTTTTCTGGAGGATATGCTCAATTATTGTATCAGCAATTTCTTGGTGCAATTGAATTGAACGTTCACCATTGTTCTCCCGGTCTTTGTCTTTGTTGGGCTTGCTGCAAACGCTGAGCCGGGTTATGTGGGATTCCCGCATAGTCCGGGGCAGACCTTGTATTTGGGGAGTGTGTGGGTAGTCAAGAGGATTGGACCACTTCAGGCGGACAAATCCCGCAAGTGGCGCTTGATGAAATCGCTCGAAGCCTGGTCTTAGTTTGTTGGTCCAACAAAGATGGCAGAGACTTTTTGTGCAAGGGCCACACCCAATGCCGAGGACCAGCTGTGACCTCAGTTGTTCATGCTGTGTAGCAAGGGCTCCTGCCGGTCAATTCAGGTTGGTTGCCATCGTGAAGGCTGGCGGCATGAGCACCAAACTCAACCAGGATTCGTCCATTGATGTGATGTTGAGATCTATTCAAGATGCATCAATCTAGTTCTCAATGAACAACTTCAATCTTGACCCTTAAGGCCATGAGCACTTTCCCATGGAACTTCAGACAAGGACATGGGCTAGCACTTCACGCAGCCGGTGTCATTGGCACGGGTTAGTTTCCCTAAATTCTAGGAACCACATTAATAGTGCGAGCGTGAGCTATCCGATCCTGCGCCCACATATAGCTATATACTAACTAGCTTGCCTCTTACTAAAAAGTATATAAAGCAACTGCCAGTCAGGACTTTGCTGCGTGCAAAGGGAAAGACGGCCGAAAAGCAAGTCTTGGAGGCTTTGAAGAGGTGGGGTTGGGCGACCCGGACTCCTTAAGTCCTAGTAAAGAGGAAATTCAAGCCTTAAAGCCTGTACTGACCCCTGAAGGTCACGGAAGGTCTGGGGTTTATTAAATAGTAAAGTTGGAGTCCTGAGCTCACTTTGCATGCAGAGAGAGTGTGCCTGTTTCTCATTAAAGGTCTGCCTGCAACCTGGTCAAAACTTGCTTTCAGCCCCAGAGTCAGAAGCCACAAGGGCCATACAGAAACCCGGCTCTTTTTTCGGCTCTTGACATTTTGGCTCAGAGCTGGGAGTGAAATCTCCAGCTTGCCGGCGTTTGCCAAGGCAGAAGGCCTCACAGAGGCCCAGTGGCCTGTCGGGCTTTGAGGTGTCGTTTTCTCAGCAAAGCCACGAAGCCGAGTCGTGGCAGGAGTGCTTCCTGCGGCCATGGCATTGAGCATGGCGAAGTCAACATCATTGCCTGGTGGGAGCGTGGAGTTAGAAAAAAGACAACAGTAGCTGTTTGCTTCCTAGTGGTAAGGCCAGGAGCCCCTAGTAGCGTCCTTGCTCCTAGCAGTAAGGCCAGGAGCCCCTAATAGCTTCTTATTACCATGAGTTCGATTTGATTTTTTGCTCTTCAAGTTTCTTGTGTTAGTTACATTTTTCGGATCGCTGATCGCAGCCCACTTTATGCAGGCCTATGGAAGATGGGGACTGAAAAGCCAAGAGGTTCGACAGGAAACTTGAAGAAGGCAGAACAACAAAGCCATCGCAGCATTGATGAGAATCAGTGTGCAGCCAGGCCACCCTAGCATTCTCTGTAGGGGGCAATTTGGACTCCGCTTTGGATAGGAAGAAAGGACAGACTCTAAAGGTATTGCAATGCTCCCAATTATATCAGATCCTTTCTCATCATGATGTGAAGGACCAGCGCCGACCAAACAGACTAGAGAGCTAGCAGGACTTCTGCAGACAGCAGGTTGGGTGTGGCATTTTCTCTGGTCATCACTGTAGAAAGTTGTATGCTGTGAACTGAAGGCTGGCGAATGGTACACACTGAGCAGCCCTCGGAACCACCACCAGCTGAAGAGGACTATTGGGCCATGCAGGTTGCAATTGTGTGGGAAACCGTACCGGCAATCAGCCGTGCCACTGTGCAAAACAAACTGCAAAAAGCTTCTCCCAACCAGATTTGCATCGTGAACTCCCTTCGCTAGGATGTGCTACCCTCAAACATGCGCCAACCCAGGGATGCCCCCGCCTGGCTCAAGCACGACAAGCAGGCCCGAGGGAGCTTCTGGATAAAGCAGGCAGTTGCAAGTGATATTGCTTAGCGGCTTTTGTTTTTTGCAGGTCCTCCGGTTTTATGGCTTCTTCCAAGAAACCGTGACCGAACGGCCAGACGAAAATGCACGCTATCGACATGTTTCCATCATGTTCCACATGGAGGATGGGACCATGAGCATGAACGAACCGAAGGTGGAGAACTCCGGAATTGCTCAAGGATCTTTCTTGAAGCGGCAAAAGGTGTGGCGTGCAGACGGGCTTGCATATATTGGCCCGGATGACCTGCGTGTTGGGAGCGAGATCACTATCTTTGGCCGCACCATCCACATCAGTGGGTGTGATAGGTTCACGAGATGGATTTTTGAGTCGGCGTCCTACTTTCAACACTTGGTCTGAATGTCAGCAGACAGAATGTGTTGATCCATGATGTCACTGGCATTCTTCCCGGCACTTCCGAGGCAGAATGGGATATCGCTACCGCCTGAAGAGCCAATGGTGGAGGATGAGTGGCACAAGACGTACAAGCTGAGGAAAATCATAGAAAAGGGTCAAAAGCCATTGACCAAGGCACAAGTGGAAGATGCTTGGATTCAGAAGTGGGGAGTGGCGATGGGTTGTCCGTATGGGTCATGAGAAAGATTTGGCAACTATTAAGCCTTTTTTCACGAAAAGCTGCTTTTCTGAGTTCTCCTTTCTTCAAAACACCATTGTGAACGCAAATGGTCTTTGTAACGGAAGCTTCCCCCAGAAACGACTAACACGGCGAAAGCACACACACAGAAACGCTGAAATGACGGCCGTAGAAGCAGCTGAAATTTGTTCAGGGCAGAGGGTTGCGCATTGCTCAAGGAGTTTGGGGCTGTAAGAATAAACACTGTTCCCGATCCACCCTACTCCGTGCCTTCTCCTCCTCCTCCTCCTCATCCGAATTCTCATTTGGATCCTCCTGAGGTTTCATCAGACTGCTGCAGATTAATATTCCTTTGCTTCCCATCTTGCCTTGCGACCGCTGCCTCTGATATAATACATATATATATATATATGTATAGATAATTAGAAACATTTGTTAGTGTATAAAGCATTCATCACCTGCGAAGGCGAAGAACTTGGCCAAATTTATGAGCGGAGCTCCGCATGTGGACATGAAATTCACGCAGTTCGCCCTGAACGAGCGGATCCTTTGATGCGCATTTTATGTGCCTACCCTTTTGCTCACAACGGGTCTGATTTGTTCGGCCGCAATTGAGGAAGGTGCTTCGTTTCAAAGCATTCTGGGATGATCACACACCGCAACTTGGCAGCTTCTCAGCTTCTCAAGCACATTCAAGCTCCTTCCGGGAGAGAGACGAGAGAGGGAGAGAGAGAGAGAGAGAGAGAGAAGTGGGAGACAAGAGGGGGACAAGAGGGGGAAAAGAGGGAGAGAAGCTGAGAGGGGGGAGAGAGAGAGAGAGAGAGACAGAGAGAGAGAGAGGAGCTATGGAGGTACGGTGCGCGCATGTACTTCATCATCCACTACTTTTTAGCTGACAACACAGTGGAGATCAACATGGCTCAATGCCGGAATTCAGGCCGTGATGCATATCCAGCAGGCATCTCAGACAGCTCGTTCTACGAGCAAGGTCTAGGCTAGAGTCTAGAGTCTAAACAGACACAAGACGCCGCGGCGTGAACCGATCTGGATATGTTCGGAACGCAAGTGAAAAAAACATTGCATTGCACTTGTTTCTACTAGCGTTCTTGCTCGCAGTAGTAAGGCACTTGTTACTAGAAGCGATGCACTTGTTTCTACTGCATTGCACTTAGAGCGTTGGAACTCTCCAGCTAAGATGTTCATGAAGCGGGGCCAGCTTTCCAAGACAACCCAAGTCCTAGCAGTGCCAGGCAGGGTCCATGCGTTGTGCCGTTGTGCCTTGGTATGTGACACTATTCAACACAGCTTTGTTGAGGCTTGTTGGCCGCAGAAGGACAGATCTACTACCCGCAGGACTTCCGGGTGGGAGCATCGATCAACGTTTGGGGCCGCAAGCTTGTCATCTATGACTGCGGCTCGGCTAAACACAGTCTTGTTGCCGGGAGAGTGGGTTGGACACAGACCATGAAGCCTGAGGTGACGATGCGACACAAAAGTTCTACAAAGAGTATTTGGACATAGACCAGCGCAAGGCACGTTCAGTTCGAGTGGCACTCCCTTGGACTCTATCTTAGATGATTTGGAAACTTTGAATCTGTTTGCGCACAGGGGTGCATCGACGTGTCTGAGAAGCCAGTGACACACTTGAAGTTGACACCAGCTCCTCACAATGGAGTGGGCCGAGAGGAGGAGAGAAACTGCGTGGTGGTAGTACCACTGCACAGGGTGCACAACAAGAACAATCAACGCAACAAGAGCTTGTCGTGCCGCAGCGTTCGCAGGATTCCTTGATCAATTGCCAGATGATTCAGCCAAAGCCTCCAAAAGTTGACTTGGAGCGGCTCATGTTGTACCACGGGGAAATCCTAAGGTTTGAGTGCAAGATGATGAAGCTCGGTTCTATGTCCAAAGATATTTTCAGAATATCTCCACTGTCCACAATGGATGGTGCCAGTGTTCACGGTAGGTTGTTTACAGCAGAGGAATGGTGAGCCTGAAGATGAACTTCGACGCTTGGTGATTGCTTATTACCTGGCAGATGATGAAGTGGCAGTTTTCGAGGCCAAAGACTTGCATTTCGGCTGCGTGCTGTTCAGTTGCACAGTTTGTGTACCTCGCTTTCAGGTGCCGGTGCGAAACAGTGGCCACATGGGTGGACGGTTTTCAGAGAAGCGCCGCATGAAGAATCCGGACACTGGAGAATACTTCAAGATCGGAGAGGCTTGGCTGACTTTTAGATCGTCCGTGAGCTCTGCCCGGATATCGCATGCGGCGGAGCTGTTCGCTTCCATGTCTGCCACCAAGGACTTGTTTGTCGGTCAGACAGTTACCATCGCTTCCCAGCCACTGCGAATCACACGAGCGGACGAGCATTGCTTGCAGTATCTGGAGGCTAGCTGAGATGGCCAAGCATCCAAGCATTGTGTGATTCAAACAGGTATGTCATGTGTCCCATTTGATGATTTTGTTGACGCTATCGAATGCCCTTCAGGCCCATCCGGACGAGTTCCCCTATGCCAGTCCTGTGGCTTGTGCTCGGCGTTTGTTGCCATTGGCTACAGATCCCGAAGTGCAAGACGAGAGAGGAATTGAACCAGAGCGCTTAAAGGAGCTGGCTGCGAAAGCAGGAGTTTCCCTCATAGACCATGAGTTGGTCACGCTGCTGCGACATTTCGGAGTCCCCCCGGAGAGTGAGGACCAACAACCCAGAATCATTGGTCCACATGCACTCCAATGTGCTGGCTGAGGTTCAGTTGAGGGCTGGAACATCAAATGTTTCCACAGCCAACTCTTGGAACCAGATTTTTTATCAGGCCGTTTTGCCTGTGCATGTGCCCCGCAGGGACTTTGGGCGTGGCACGTCTCACATTCAGGTCTGCGTACATAGGATTCTTGCAACAGTAGCAGATCTGTCCATTTTTGGAGCCTCCAAGAGGCACACCAGGGGCCATCAGACAGATCCTCAGTTTGAGCTGTGGCAGGCAGACATGCCGACAATGTTGCGAGCATTAAGTTGCTATTAGAAAGCCGATGTCGAAAAGGAGTATATATATAAAGTCGACGCACTTGCTTTGTGCTCCTGTTTCACGGTCGCTGGCTATTTGGTGCTGTGGTAGAATTGGATTGAAAGCCCGACATGCTGTTTTCCGCAGCCACTGTGGTCCAGAAGTGGGGCGATATCTTGGCCATGACCGCAAAGCTGAGCAAATCCATTTCCCTTCCTGGCCTTTACAAGATTGGCACCGACAAACCCAAGGGCTTCACCGGCAATGCACGGACGACCACTTTGGCCTTCAAGGTTGCTGGGAACCTGAAATCGCAGGTGGATTTGAAGAGGACACCCGCACCCACAGAGCACAGCCGATACTTGGCCTCCTTGATGAAGACAGGGGGATGGCGAACATTTTACAAGGAAGAGGAAGACGACGTGCCAACCAAGGACTTCGTTTTTTTTGCGTTTTGAAAACGTCCTGTTGGCCTTTCGTGTTTGCCTTGATGCCACACTTTTTGTATGGTCCACACCAATCTTTCAACAGCCTGTGCAGGAGGAGGATATTGTTCCCAAGAACATGAGGCACCCGAGGCTCAGCCCGGCATGGCTAAAGCATGAAAAGCAGGTGCTTCGTTGGTATGGCTTCTTCCAGGAGACAGTGACAGAGAGCGCGATGGAAAACAGCCGTTATCGGCACGTTTACATCATGTACTTCATGGAAGATGGCACCGTGGGCATCAACGAGCCTAAAGTGGAAAACTCTGGAATGCCACAGGGCAATTTTCTGAAGCGACAAAAGGTTCAGAAAGAGGATGGGACTTACCTTGGGCCGGATGACATTCACATCGGCTCTGAAGTCACCATTTGTGGCCACACCTTTCACATTTGTGGATGCGATCGATTTACCCGTTGGTTCTTTGAAGAAAATGGGGTCGCCATCGAAGAGGAGCCTGGACCACTACAGTAAAACCACGCTGACCGTATTTTTGTTCCATTTTTTCACAATTGTTAGTCACCAATTGTCTAATTTTAAAGGTGCTGAGTCTCCTTTGAAGCTTCCACCTAGGACGAAGAGATTCCTATTGACACCTGGCAGACCAACTACCGTATCCAAAAAGCAAGAGATCGAGGTGGATTACCAGTGACAAAGGGTGTGATGGATGACAAGGCAGGATGAACTGCAATTGCACAATTGCCCGATCGCACTGAGAGGATCCATGCACACAGGCCAGTGAGGTGAAGTGGCCCGTTTGTTTCATTTGGCTGCATTTTGTCGCTGAAATTGCAGGCCGTGATGAGAGCCTTGGGTGGCATCCCTCCCGTGGAAAAGAAGTTTGCGCAATTTCTCCTCAATGACCGGAAAGTGCTTCGCTTCAAGGCCAGCTTTAGGTCAAGGGCTCAAGGTCAGCTCGAGTGGAGGATGTCTTGAGCTCTGTCTGAAATGCAGGGATACTGGGACGACCACACACCATATGGGACGAGCTGCATGGCGATGCAATTGCATAATAAAACATATTCCTGACATGAGTTGTTCAAGCAGGATGTCACTGGAAGGCGTTTCAAAGTGCTTTGTGTATGCCAACACAGCTCCGATTGAGCTGAGGGTTCTATTTCATTCTTCACTACTACTTGGCCGACAACACCGTTGAGATCAATGAGGCTTTTAGAATGCTTAGAGCGCTGCATCTCCTGCAATTACTGTAATGACCTAGCAGCACATTATATAGTTCCCAGACCATGGTCTGCTGTTGGCACTTTCTCGGTCAAGCTGGAGATGTGCAGCAGCAGTGGCAGCTGTTTTCTTCCCTATGTTTGGTCAAACTTTTGCAGGCTCATTGCCGCAATTCTGGTTGGGATGGTTGGCCAGTGCTGTGCTTAATTTCACACGTAGTCCGCATTTCCCGTCCCAGTGTTGGACGCTAGAATCTCCATTTCTTTGCGAGTTTGTGTGTGTGTGTGTGTGTTTGGCGCGACTTGAGCCATCATACTTTGATCCAAGATCTTCATGAAGCGCGGGCCGTTGCACAAGAGACAATCGGTGGCACTCAGATATATCACTGAAATCATGCCAATTCTGCGAGGGCTGCACTAGCTTTTGCACTGTTTCCGTTGTTCCCGAGGTAATTTTGTCAATGGAATTCCTGCCATGCTCTCTGCTGAAGCACCACGGTACCTGCCGGAGGATTTGAAGGCCGGCGGCATATCGAGGTGTTGCAGCCACTTTGGTCATTTCTCCCCATCTCCCTGGCATTCTGAAGCATTCTTGATCTGGTATATTATAGCATATTATAGCTTTGCTGGGATTGTGCCATCCAGGTTGGAGATTCGATCAATGTGTGGGGCCGAAAGGCACAAGCTTTTGACATTAACTGCTGCATATATAGTGAGACTCTGTGCGATTTGGGTGCTTTTCGTCTGAAGGTCGTGCTCTATGATTGCGACGATTTCACAAGAAAGTTCTACCTTGACTACTTGGGTGCCTCAGTTAAGTTGTCGCGTGCGAATGATGTACAGAACTGGGTCTACTCAGTGCAGGTGTTGACCAGTTTGATGGTCGCATTGACGTCAGTGAGAAGCCTGTGACGCATCTGAAGCTCACGCCGCCGCCACACAATGGCATTGGCAAGGAGCGATCGTAGGGTACGGAGGTTCTCTCTCTCTCTCTCTATATTGTCCGGGCTAAGGGCACTTGCTTTGAGTCCCCTGGCTGTTCCACTAGTTACTAGTTCTGGCCGCGAGTGCCGAATGGGGATGAAGGCAGAAGATTCCCTGCTGAACTGCACGATGATCCAGCCAAAGCCGCCGAAGGTAAGGAGGGAAAGTCACGCACAACAATCGGGAGAAGACACGACTGAGAAGAGAGGAGAGTAGACTCCACAGAACGCAAAGAGACCGCATGGAGTTACAGCACACCCTGCATGGAGAAGACCACTGGTTTGTCGAGGAAAGTAGTTGCAACTAACATGGTCAAAAGATCAGGGTTGATGTTAGTGGAAGACGAAGGTTCCACAGGAAAGGACTCACTGTACCTCAATTGAGAGACTGAAGCCTCTCCCATCCTTTCCCTTCAGATTGATCTCGAGCGCATGCTGGTCTATGGCGGGGATGCTTTGCGTTTTTGACCTCAGAGCGCGATCGGTAAAGGTAGTGAAAGAGACAAGGATTGTGGCAACTCTTTGTGCGGCCAGACTAAGACACTCGTGACAACAGTGACAGCATTTCCAAGTTTACAAGGCTTTGAGTGCAAGATGATCAATGGCGAGCCTGAAGATGAGCTACGCCGTCTCGTCATTGCTTTCTACCCTGCCGATGGCGAGATGGCTGCCTTCGAGGCCTGGACCCCGAGGATTCGGATGTCTTTCCATCCAAACGGCCCGACTCAAGTCAGCCCAAAGCAACAAGGGAGGGTCATGCCCTGGCGTCAAAAGCGGAAAGGCATTGTTGTGTGGGTATGGGTCGCAGCCCTGAACTCAGGTTCCTATACGCAACAGCGGCCACATGGGGGGGCAGATTCTCAGAGAAGAGGCTCTTGAAAAATCCAGACACGGGCACCTCGGATCCCTTGAATCCTAAAATTTGATGAGATGCTGAGATGCACCTGGAAATCAGGTGTTTCCAAGAAATGACATTTGAGGCAAGTATTTCACGCTCTCGGACTTGTTTGTTGGGCAAGTGATCACCATTGCCGCGCAGCCTTTGTGGGACACTTAAGTAAAGGGGCTTCCTGGAGTTTTGTGCTTGTCTCAACATTCCTTACTGTCGTCGTGGTCCTTTTCTTGACCAGTTTATTGTCCGAGTGAAGTAGGACTCTCTCATGTCAGCTTTTTGATCATCGGCTCTATTGCTACCATTACAGCTCCAAGGCAAATTGTCCGGGCAGACGAGCGGTGCCTACAGTTCTTGGAGGCTGAGACTCATTGCGGGTGATTGCTTTGTTGGAATTGTCTTGGATGCGTTTCAAGAGAAGCTATTTGCCCAAACTGTTCTTTGCACGGTGACGATGACGGCCCTGAGGGGTAGCCTTAACAATGGCACCTTTCAACTCCTTTCAGTGATTCAGCGCTCTGTAGTTGTGATGTGGTATTGAACATGAGCAAGTAGCAAGGTGTTGCAACTGCTTCTTTTTGAGAAGCCTTTGCAAATTGAGAACCTTGAGTTCTTCTAATGGTGTGCCCTGGTGTCGACAGGCTCGACCAAAAGAGTTTCCATATGCCGACCCAGTTGTGTGCTCAAAGCGGCTAGTGCCACTGGCGGAGCATCCAGAGATGTTCCTCTGCTAAGTATGGACGTGAGGCAGGAACTTGAGCAAAGACTCTGGAGAAGTTGCAGCACGATTTGGAGAGCTTTCGACTTTGTCGCAGCCAAGGCAAGATGCAGATGGTCTTAGCCCAGATCGGCTTAAGGAGATCGCCTTTGAGGCAAAGAGAGCAGCGGGAAGCTGCTGGGTTTGGAAACACAAAATGGGTCCTTTGATGTGCATAGGCCGGCATTTCGATGGTGGATCATGAGATCATCACACTGCTGCGAAGCTGTGGCCGCTCTCTCGGGAATCAACCTGTATGCGTTTGCCACTGCATGACACGTTCATGAAGAAAGGCAATTTCCTCTACGACTTGGCCTGTTCCACTTCAATGATTTGTTTTCCAAGAGGCAGCCAAGTAGGACAGACTATTTTCTGTGCAAGCTGCAAGCATTTATGAACTTATTCCTGAGTGTGTTAAGAGCTCAGATGGGTTCCTGGATTGCGTTTCATTGCGCGAGACACGTCGCTTGAAGAAAGAGAGCTGGGCTTTGCAGAACTCAGGCGTCCCTGCTGAAAGCGAGTCTGACCAGCCAAAGGTAATCGGGCCAAAGGTGCTAGAATGTGCTGGAGTGTTGCAGCCTGCGGACTCTTGAAGCGGCCGGACCCACGAGATGTCGACTTGCACGAAATTAATGAAGTAACAGTGTAACAGACTGACGTGAAGCCGGTGTCAAGGCCCTCGGAGCGTGCTACCCACCTCACAGGGAAACCTGCATTTACAATGAGAAGCGGAATGTGCAGTAGCGTGCAGTTTCAAGAGAAGGAAGAGGCACGGTGGGCTTTGGCAGTGTAGTTTCGGCCGGAAGAGGACTAGCTCGTGCTGAAGGGCCCGGGAAGAACTTGGAAAGCCCTGAAGCAAGTCTTGAATTCAACAGCTATCGGGCTGAATCCGGTATGTAGGTAGGGTACTTCTGCTGAGAAGCCAGCAGCAAACGCTTGCCTGCAAAGCAGGAAGCCGTTCACCAAGCGGGACCCTATAAACGCTCTTATGTTGACGACCATTCCTCCGACATGTCATTTAGGGCTCCTACCAGATGTTGCGCAAATGGGCCACGCCCGTGATAGTTCTGGGACTTCTATTGCAAGGAGGCTGACTTTGTACTGCCTTGGAGATCTTGGAGTGCAAAAAAAGGTTCGTTGTGCAAAGTGAGTGTTGGATGTGCAAGCTCTTGAACTTGTTCGAGCTCAGACCTGGCCAGGATGGAAGGCAAAGAGCAAAAGAACAGCGAACAGAAGAACCCTACTGCAAAGAAGGCCAACATCCCCACTCCAATAGAACATTTGTGAACATGCTAGTGTAGTTCCCATTTTTCTGAGATCAGATGGTGGGAGAGGTTCAAGATGAGACAAGTTTCGCTTTCCATCTCTAGTGACTATATTGTTACCCTTGCCGCAATTTTTCCCATCATGAGAATCGTTAAAATCAGGTCACCTGAACTGCACTCTCACTTGTCACAGTCACCGATCCGGCCGCCCATTCCCGGACTCGAGGATGATGCAGGGGACCACCATGTTGAGGCCAGTGGTGTCCGAGTGTGATCTAATCTTTGCAGGCAAGCAGGCAGGCAGGCAAGCACTTACTCGTTTACCTGCCGGCAAGGAGGAAGATGTTGATGACGAAATCTTTGGTGACGATGACGATCTTGCAGGAGACGAACAAGTTCGGAAAGATGAACAGAGAGGCTTTAACAGGTGTTGGAGGTACCAGAGGTAACTACCTTTTTGCTGCGGACTCCTGGCATGTCAAACGGGGCCGCTGGTAAGGATACCATGACTTTGAAGATGGTGGGGGCGACGAGTTTGAGGATGTCGGAGGCCGGGGAAAGCTTATGGGCCATATGGGAAAGTGAAAGTTGCTTTTTGTAAGCTGTTTATCTCTTCTGCACGGGGAGTTGTGTCCCTTTCCTGCAAGCTGTAAAGTTATCAAGGTGTGCTTCCAATTGGAGAAAGGTACTGTAAACATGATGACTTTCTAGGACCTAGGACTTTTAAACTGCGTTTAACCGTGTGCGCAAGGGAGAAACAAACAGATTATATAGATGAATAGTTTGTCACTGGTGTTGATCAATGCTTTTTTGCTTGCAATTCGAATTCCTTTCATTGATGGACATCAGTTTTTGTTGACAATGCGGCCTTTGTGCCCAAACGCTGCAGTTTCTAGTTTTTCTCGTTCTTTTCACAAATTAGACATGCTCACTTTCAGGTGGAGATGGAGATGCTGATTTCTAGCTCTTGCATTTGCAATAGGTGCCAGTTACGAACCGAACGCCCCACACTGCGTGTGCGGTGGCTGATGGGGCCGTGTTTCACAAGAAATCCTCAAGGTGCCTTGAAAAAGGCCTCCGCCTTCCCACGTTCTTTTCTTGGCCTCCGCCTTCTTCCGAAGCCAAGTTAATTTAGGGCATCAAACCAAAAGAAACAAGACAGGAATTCTGGAATGGCTTGCTTTTCACTTTGGTGCTTGCAGTTGCTGGGGATGTTTGTAGTTCCTTGGAATGCAGTTGGACCACTTAGAAGTTTGCCAAGGTGTACATCACGTGCTTGACAGGATTTTGGTCTCAAAGGTAGCCATCAGGTAGGACATTGCAGGCATCGTGTGCCCCGATTTTTCCCAATGGCATCCCGCTGCTTGCTCCCTGCTGCTGGAGCATTGATGCTCATGTGTTTCCTCCCTGCAGCCTTTGTGGTGCTTCCTGGTGTTCAGACCCCGGCCCTTCGCGGTGCAAAGGCGCAAGGAGGTGCATCCTTTGCCAACCTCAGCATGGCCAGCATTGCCACCACAACCGCTGCATTTGGTGTCGCAGCTGCTGTTGTGCGAAGCCGCAGTCGAGAAGGAAAGACAGCAGCCAAGTACACAACGCAGACGATCTTGCCATCGCTGGCATGGATCAAGACAGGCGTGAGGGCCTCTGAGTTGCAGCCCACTGAGTTGAAGGCACTGACACTCGCAGGCAATGACGTGTTGATTGGCAAGACTGAGGCTGGTGCTCTCTTCTGCGTTGGCAACTTGTGCCCTCACATTGGCACTCCCATGAGCGAGGGTGCGGATGTCATCGGTGATGTGATTGTATGCCCTTTGCACGGCTCTTCCTTTAAGGTGACCACTGGTGAGCTCATCGACTGGTGCGTCTCCCCACCCATCATTGGTCCTCTCACGGGCTTGATCGTGGACAAGAAGAACCTCCTGATTTTCGAGTGCCGCCAGGGTGGCTTCTTGGGAAGTGGAGAGGTCGAGGTGCTGGTAGACACAAACGCCAAGAAGGCCTACGAAGCTAACTACTGGAAGGGCTTGCTGGACGCACAGGGCAAAGATGATGGTACCTACTACTGAGTGTGATCCCAACAGTTTTCACAGACCAATCCTCCGCGCCAGAGGGTTAAAGTCCGTCAGGAGAGTCACAACTCACAGTACTTATACTTGTCCCGTGACAGCTGCATGCTTCTCACAACGAGCCTTGCCTGCCTGGTCTTGCGACTTCATCGCTGCTCTCTCCCGATTGCGATCTCCCACAGCCTGTTTGACCCATTGTATTTTCCCTTGCGATCGCTAGACTGCTAGACTCATCGCCGGTTCCCATAGCATGTCTCGCTGTCGTCGACTACCCGAACACTAGCCGTGCCACGGTGGCCTCATAGCTTTCCCAAGCAGTTTCCTCCCTTGTGAGTTCATCACCGCTGAAGGAAGCCAAGTTGGCAACTGTTATCGCGGAATAAATCTCATTTATGTGTAATAACTTGTGCATAAGCTTGGT